GAAAGGCGTTATAAGGAAAATTAATATTTGGAGAGCTTAAAATTTTAGTCCGTAATAATTTGCTTCATGACCCTTCAAGAGATTAAAAAGGGCGGGTAATGTAGACACCAAGGAAGTTTTATAAAACTCTTAATGCAGCCACTGTTTATTTGACTAGTTTTAATATTTCTTACGAGTTAGATTGATGAAAGGAACTGCTCTAAGGAAGATTGCTGATAAATTCGCATAATATCGCACCTAGACAATGAGAAATAAAGTCAAACCTCAGATTATTCTGCTGGTGACATATTACCCTTCATTAATTTAAGTTAATTTAGGTAAAGCTTTATGGCTATTCATTAAAGGGTAAAATTTCTTGGACTCGTTTCACAACCCTAGATCCTTGCTAATATAAGCAAAATTGTGGATGCACAAGGCGAGATGTAATCTCAATTGGCTCATTTGACATGGATCAAATCATGTGATAGCTATTGTAAGGTCATACAAGCTGTAATAGATAAGTTTCCTACAATGAAATATTTAATTCTAGTTGCTATAAAAGTTTTACTGATAGTTTTCAAGCCTAAACACAAAATTTATAGTAATCTTATCAAGTGTATTGACAAGCAGATATTTGAATTACTGACACTAGTCCAAGTACAAGATTAATCTCCTAACTTTAACGGCATATTTATCAATGTCGTATTGATTTTGTAAGCAAGGCAAATTTTCCAAAACTACAAATCTTTATTCATCGTCAAACAGTGTAGCAATTCTAGCCGATCATAAAGTAGCAAAATCTTAATATATCCTTACAGACTCACTCAGCTGATTTCCACTGTGAATCGGAAGGGGCACATTCTACCTTTAATTTCTCATATACTCTCTGAGTCTCTAGACTCCTGGACTGTTAGATGCAGTGGAAACATTACAGCTTGACGTTAACGACCCAGACTCAAATCTCGTTGTGGTTACGCCAAGAATAGGTGAGATCTGAGCTAGTTAGAAACCAGCGTTCATCATGAGTGACAATAAGGCTAACTAGAATAGAGTAATTTCCCTACAGATAAAGGCATTGTATGGACTTTACTTTGATTAGATTAACTACTTTACAGCCCGGAGATACCGATTTATTCAATAAGCTCGTGTCTTACCTTGGACTGAATTGTATTGATAGCGACGTCCTTTTCTGATATCTCGCACTTCAATGCCTCGATTTCACGTTCGAGTCGTGCCTGAATAATTTCCTTGTTAGCCATTTCGCGCTGCATCTGAGAAATGAGCCCACTAAGAATCTGTTTATCTCGACTCATCTTGGCCAACTCGGCTGTATTTGTTGCCGGGGCATTCGACACTCCTTGTAACGCTGTTTGTCTCAAATCTCCGCAAGTGATTTTTGATCCTGGTGCTATTGCTCCGGATGGTAAGTTGGTATCGCTTCGGCGGGCGGCACTCTCCTCTTTGTCTCCCGTGTGAGCACTGTT